AAAACTGACTAATAGATCTGTTAAGACTACGTTTATGATACTAGGCATTAACGAATATCTGTTGAGTACCCGCCACATGCTGTCACTTTTCTATGCCAAGCAGCGCGATGAAGACGTCGAGAAAATTTTCGCCAGCAGACGACTACGAACGGACACGGAAAATGGTACCCGAAGGGTTGTCGCACGAATCGTTAGCATATATTTTCAGTTTTAGTCAATTCGCTCAGTTGCAAATTATTAAGCATAGAACAGTGTCGAGGAATAAGCAGGATAAGCAAGACGGCCTACAAGCAAGCAAGACGATGGTGTTACTCATCATACACTGGAGCGTATCATGATATGCACATTGAGGACATTCAAGTGGAAAACCTGTCAATGTTCACCATTAACTAAATTAGGACAAGAACGCAGGTATTTCTCAGTTTATTTAGTTCGTACGGATGATAGGCAAACCCTTTGAAAATCCTATTGATTTTGTGCCAACGCGTTATATACAAATGTACACGGCAAGCGAAAACTGTTACTATTTAAGTTGGGCTTGAATAATTTAAGTAGTATCGCTTTAGAAGACAATTTTTTTAGGTTGAAGGGGTATTTAGCACAGGTTCAGACAGCCGAGGGAAAACAGTGGGCACAGATACTTATACAGGCGTTTCTGAAGAGTTGCAGGAACGTCGCCTCCATGACGGAATGCGGACGATCATTCCAGTTCTCCACTACCCCTTGCGTGAATAATTCAGAACGAAGATTCAGCTTGGACATTTTTACCCGTAGCTCCATCGAATGACCATGAATATTGGGTTAGAAATGCCACTGAAAGATGCCCTCAAAGTTAAGTCCATGCTCAAGGCCATGTAGTATCTCGTAAACTACGCCAAGACCACCTCTTTGCTGCCTGTAACGCAGAGGAAATGAATTAAGGCACTTCAGTCTTTCAACGCATGATTGGCTTTTTAAACCGTCCACCGGCTTTGTTGCATGACGTTGTACTCTCCCGAAACATAGATGGTTTTTACAAACCATGGCAACCACGCTTTTGTCGCACATTCTAAATGCGGCCGAACAAAGTTGCCGTAAACTCTCCCAAAAAGGTCTTTGCCAAAGGTTACGAACGCCCTTTTGATCGGATGGAGCACTTCCATGGCATTTTTGCAGCCTTGATGCACTACAGTGTTGGTTTCATGCTGCTCTGTCTCCAAACACCAAGGTCCTTCTGCGAAGATTATGCAGGAAGTGTAAAGTCTTTCAGGTGATATGTCTTCATGCTCTCATTTTAATGACAGTTGGTTGGACGCAGATGAAGGACGGCACACTTCGGCATGTTGGGATCCAGAAGCCATTTCTCGGTCCACGTTTGCAGTCGGTACAGATAGCTTTGAAGACATCTCTGGTTTCTGGACTCTTAATGACTTGTTAGAGCTTAACGTCATCGACAACCATCATTTGAGCGCAGTCAAGTTCCTGACGGCTGCCATTAACATAGAGATTGAAAAGTGAGGGTCGGAGATCTGAGCCTTGAGGCACACCATTAGTCTCTTTCATCCAGTCTAACATGCCATCTCCGATACAGACACGCTGTTTTCGACCAACCAGAAACACCCTTCTCCAGTTTAAAAGATCTCCCCGGATGCCGATGGCGCTCAATTTATGAAGAAGGCGTTGGTGCGGGACAGTGCTGAATGCTTTTCAGAAATCGATGCACACGACATCGACCTCAAATCCCCCTTTTAAAGCACTGGTCCAGATCTCTAGAAAAGTTAGTAAATTTGGGAGCAATAGCGTCCTCTCCAGAAACCATGTGCAAAATCCTGCAAGACGTCAGTTCGTTCACCAGTTTGCTGCATAACACCCCTTACCGGATCTTCCATCGTTTTACATGTAGGCAAGTTAATGTAAAAGGCCTGAAGCTGCTTGCTGCCATCTTGTTACCTCACTTATGTAAGAGAAGGAGGTTGGCTGTCTTCCATGGTGATGGCAGCCTCCCTTTTCTCATTGACAGCTGAAAGAGAGTCGAAGGAGGCTTTGACAGCTCCAGTGATAGCTTCTGAAATATCAGCCCAGGAATGTTATCGGGTCCAGGAGACTTACCCGGCTTTATTTAACTGAGAACACGTCTTACTTCTTTGACGGAAACGGCAAGGGTCTTAATGACGGCAGTATCATGGCGCATTTGAAACCCCCGGCCGTCTTGGCCCATTTCAAACTGCTGATTGTCTTCAGAGCACTCTTCCTTAAAAACCCATAGAAAAAACTAGGGCAGTAATTGCATTTTCTGTGGCCCCTCAACTAATGGGTTTCCGAGGCTACCCTTCAGGCACGCAATTTCGTCTCTATGTTTTCTCTTACTGCGGATATGCCCATAAAACCTATTTGACCTTATAATTGATTCTGCTGTCAGTCGGCGCTCGAAAGAAGTTCTAGCGGCCCGTATATGTTTGCGGCATTTATTTCACCGCTCATTATATTCGGCGAATGTTATTGAACCTTAAAGATGCAAATACTTTTTTCCACAGCCTCTGTTTTTTTCTTCATGGTCTTTTTGTCATCGGAGCGACCCACGGCGGTCGCGCACATGGTCCAATTATTTTGTAGGAAAATGTGCTTCATTTAGTCTCCCGAATCTTTCATTTTCACTGACTAGGTTTCCTGCGAAACAGCGCGCCACATTGCGTTGACATCACGCTTCCAAATATTTCTGAGCCTCACGAGCAATAGGCCGTAACAAAGCCGTTCGTAATTAGCAAAGTTATTACGGATCGCTTTTTGTTTGCTCAGAATTACATGGATTGCTGACCTTCATTTGCAAAGAGCACTGGCTTCTGCGATGAGGTATAGTTTTTGGATAAGTCGGCGACGTTGTCTCAGCTGATCAAATGTGGGAATAACTTTCCAAACTAGCACAATGCGCCGACGGCAACCTCGATGTACTACTGGCGGTTGATTTGCATAACTATCAAATTCGGAGAGCGGCTGGTCTGGCAGTCAACTTCAAACACCATCAACAGTGTGGTGTCCGCCGATATTTGAAGGACGTCTTCACATACAACGACATCCACCAACGCCAAATGAATACAGTAATTTTACACGATAATGTTCCTGTCCATCGCTATATGGGGACATGAATCTGATACGTTTGCAACAGTAACCTAACTTTTGATATGATACCAGTGTTGATAAAGTGATTCGCTGCAACAGTTTCTATTTTCTTACCGGGAGCAGAAAAAGCAATAAACTGGCTCCAAATGTTGTACTGTTTAGAAGTGTGAAATTTATATCAAAACATAAGAAATCATTCCATTCGAGAATAAGAAGAAGAAGGCACGATCACTGAGACGGTAGATTTATTGGACTTAGCGTTCGAACTCGAACTGGAGTTCATCCTCAGAGACTGCTGGAGTGCAACAACGTGGGAACATTTATATCGCTGTGCTGTGATGGGGGGGGGGGGGGAGAACTACCTCCGTGACTAGGTCTGATTTGTGCTAAGGCCAATAAATCTACCGGCCCAGTGATTGTGCCTTCTTCTTCTTTTAAACAAGAACCCGGGGTGGGCATATTCTCTTCCATTCTTAGATGCATCTTCCCCCATCATGGTTGTCTTGATGATCTTTTCGACTGGAAGGATAGCCTGAAAGAGATAGATAAAAGTCATGATCATAGTCTCTAAACTCGTCAGAGTAGTCGACTGTGCACTTCAATTGGTCGATTTTTTGGACAGGCTAAAAACGACAAGTCTCTGAGGCAACCAATACGGAATGATGACAAAGTGCGTCCCTCCCATCGGTCTATTGAAAATCGGAGCAAACTACCTAATTCAGTTCGCATTTAGAAGAAGGCTTGGTTACATTTTAATTGATGATCACCGACTTAATTAACAAAGATGGATTCATTGTTTACATATAACTACGTAAATATAGGCATTTGTGAACCATGTATGCAGATAGAGTTTGTGAAGACTGTCTATCTCTCTTAGATATAGTGAATTACAAGGAATTATGATGTGTCTAAGCTACCTTCAAGCTGTGCAATGATGGCTGAAACAAAATTATAATCCGCACACATCGATTCTCATGGGCGTCCACTTCCAGCAATGGTGTGTCATTCAGGCGGTCTACCCTGCGGTTCGAAGATCCGGTTTCGCTAAGTCGTAAAATGTTGCACTTGCTGACACTGAAAGGTAAAAGCCAGTCATTTAACCATTTCTTGAGTCCGTTTAGATTTGCCTAAGACTCATTTCTTCCTTGATGCAGTCGCTGACGTTTATAATGGACAGGGTAAGGTCAAGAACGGAGCCCCAGAGAACACCACCCTCAACTGCAACCTCCACCTACTGTTGGGCACTGACGTAGACAACTTGAGAACGACCAATTAGGAGACTACAACTCCGCTTCAGGAGATTACCGATAACGCCTGTTGCGTTGAGTTTGAGCAGAATTAGTTCATGTGCTGCGCTATCGATTGTCTTCTTAAGATCGACACAGATTGCATGCACTGCATTCCTTCGCTGAATTGATCCGGCCTTAATGTCCTAGACAGTAGAGCGTGCTTGTCTCACCAGACCTGCTTAATTTACGCCTGCTTCACGTCTCGATGTCTTACCAGTTATGTCATATTTTTAGTCCTCGTTTTCCTTCCCCTCCTATGTGTCTTATTATTTCAATCACCCGTTCGGCTCTCCGGTTTCCACTTCTTGGTCATCGGCATTTTCTGAGTCTGAAGTGCAGCCAGCCTTGCCGGACTGTATTTAACCACTGCGGATTTTCTGTTTATCATCCGTTCTATCGATAATTATACATTTGCAGTCTTTGGCGTGCTCCCCTACTTAGGCCGGTTTTGTGCGCTACTAATTCTAACAAAAGACAATAGGAGATTCAACAACATTTTATTCCCGGATTGTTATAAGGCTTGCACTTTTGAATTCCTAAATCTTCGCCTTGGGCGTCTGAGTCTAAGTTGCCGTCCGGTGGATGTTTGAATAGGCTGCACTTTCGTTTATTACGATGGTAGACAGTTACGACTATCTCTTAAAATTCTTGATAATTGGTAATGCGGGTACCGGGAAAACCTGCATCCTGAGGCGTTTTCTTGATGACGTCTTTAAAGAAGACACACTTCACACAATTGGAGTTGAGTTTGGCACAAAAATAATTCAAATCGGTGGAAAGTCGTTGAAACTCCAGATATGGGATACAGCAGGACAGGAAAGGTTTCAATGCGTCACGCGTTCATATTATCGAGGGGCTGCTGGTGCCTTAGTAGTCTATGACATATCCTGTCGTGAGTCTTTTAAACGCGTGTCCGATTGGATTGCTAGCGCGCGGGAGCTTGCGAAGCCCGAGTTGGCAATTATACTAATTGGCAATAAAGCGGACTTGCCGGCTGATGTCCGTGAGGTAGGTTTCATCATGGCAGAGGATTTTGGCCGCATAGCCTTCGTGTATATTCTTGTCGTGTATGTGTCGCGCGTCGCTGATTCGCCTGTTGCTTTCTATTTCCGATCCACTTTCACCCCTGAATCGAATGCTTACTTATACTCTATGTCGATACAGTTATGAACATGCGATGGACTGATTGATTTTGGTGTACTACACCTATCCATTTAATGGGCTGAATTTTATGCCAGGGCGTTAACTAGGATGAGCTCCAACAACGCCTTTGTAAACTAGGTCTGGGATATTCAGACCCTTGGCAGCGCGCATGGTCTTACACTGGACGGGTATCCACGTTGTTAGCAATTTGATCCATACTAATATCGCAGAATGAATGGGTCTCCATTTTTCCCTTCTATACAAACGCAACTTAGATTGGAACACATGCTGCTGCATAGTATCAAGCAGAAGCCCTTTCTAGTCAACTTTCTGACTGTTCATTCTCTAAACCAGCTTAAACACGTGCTCATCAGATTGCTGCATATGTAATTACCCGTCCATACGCTTCGCTACTTTTTTTTTCTGCAGGATATTTAGAGTTGATGGTTTGTAAGCGTGTTACTTGGCAGAATACCCTTTGACTTGTTTTTTTGAAACCTCTAATTTGCTGTTTCATTCTGTCCGGCTGTCAGTTACTCCCATCGTGCCTTATAGGTGACCGAATCAGAGGCCAGGCAGTTTGCGGAGGAAAATGGTGTGCACGCTTTTATGGAAACCTCGGCTAAGTTGGGTGACAACATCCAGGAGGCATTTTATGAAGGTGCAAGAACTGCCCTAGAAAGAGCCAAGGCTTCAAATACGACTGATATGTTCCTACCTGCCGGTAGTCCTGGTGCTACTTACCTTCATTCGCGTAACAAATCCGCCAATTCGATTTCCTCTTGCACCGGCTCCTGCTAGCTGATATCCTTGTTCCCTGTGGTGCGTCTAAATTTGATTTACACTCTGTCCGTTTCCACTACTTGCCTTCTGACTCGCCCGTGTTTAAGTATCTCTATGCTACCATGCAGTAGGATATGTGACCCTAGAAACACTTTTTGTATTCATTTGGTTGCAAGGATAGCTTGCAAAACCCTTTCCGCTTTTTCATGGTATATTAAGCCATTTGCAGGTTATGCTTAAAGCTACGTAGGGTGGTGTGCTTCTGCTTACCTCCTTTACCTCGTAGTTGTCATCCCACGTTTTCTTGCGCCCTCCTTCTATAAACGCTTCATTTCACTTCTTGATTCTTTGATCGTTTATCTCCTGAAATGCTTACACTAGCTGCACATCCTAATCTTCTCCCCACCGCGACCTCAGTCACGGTTTATAGACCAATAATCAGACCCCTAGTTTCCCCGTCGCCTTGACGGTTACCACTTCTTACAATAGTTTGGTTTGACTTTGTACTCTTGACAACTGATGATGACATGCTGTGCGGGAGAATCTAGCAGTTTCGTAGTCTAGCTGACAACCACCAGGTTATCTGAGTGTCACGTGAAGACATTCAGCCTTTTTACATTTTCTCCTGTTTAGCGAGTGATTGCCGCATGAGCAAACATTTTGTCGAATTGTTCACTCTAGTAGAAGCGAAGAGGCGAGTCGCACGAAGTAGTCACTTAGGAGACACGGCTACTGGAACACGAGCTTTACTAGCCAAATTTTTTGGATTCCCACTCGAATCCGTCATCAGAGACAAAGCCAGATAAAAGTAGTAAATTGCGCAGGTGTTGCAGTATTTATAGAATGTAATTGCTAAGGTGATACATGTTTATCACAGTTGGCAGCTCCCGAGCATACCACGGCTGGACTGACCAGGTGTTGAATTATGCAGTTGGCATGCCGTTAATTCTGCCGTTCCGGCTTTGAGATTTGGTTATTTGCGACAATAATAGGCATCTTAGGAAGGCAAAGGATATTGTTTATGCGAGGCGCCCTGTTAGAAGGCGCAATTGTCAGCATCGTTTCCGCGGCCTCAAAGCCCCAACAGGGTTATTGGAACGCATGCTCCTGCCGCTACCGAAGACGCCGAGGGTAGTACACACGGGTTAACGTGGAGCACTAGATATAATTCCTGGCTCATCTGATCTGAAAAGAGTTGTCAAACGGGTCATCGACCTCATCCAAACTGACAGTAGAACAAGCTAAGTGGTGCGGATACGTATACTAAGGGCAACAAGACAGGTACATAGGGAAATGTTAAACGGTACAAGGGGATGAGGATTACTGCAGATGTGATGATCCGCCTGGACAAAGAAGTGATACCAACATATCAGCCTGACAACCAGTGGGGAATGCAGTGCTGTCGGCAACTGCGGGGTGGGGCCGGCCGAGGGTTCGGCGAGGCGTGTGGACAGAACACCGGTTATTTTCGCCGAAATGCGGTCACACCATCTTCATCCTGGATATGCACTCCAGAAGTCTCGCATCATTCAAACAACCCTGTTCAGTTCAACGGACGTTATAGTCGCACAGGGCCAACCCCCACATCTTCATGATGCTAATTATTGGTAGCTAATGTGGTAATGACGATCTGTTTATACCACAACGACCTTGGCTAACGCCTGTTTTCGACATCCCCTCGAAACTCCGTGGTTTCTTATTTGAGTGAGGGGAACCGCCTCTCATCTTGAGTGCAGTCTTAAGAGGGCACTGGGCAGGTGTTGCAGCTAGGACCGTAGCAAGCACTCGAAAGTGAGAGCACGAACAAATCTGGATACAGGATACAATTGAGCTACTGGAACTAAAACAGGGAATAGAATATTAGTAGATAAGATGGAATTTCGCCAGGGCATAAGTTAGCGTGACAGCAGGTGTAGTTCTCCCTACCACTTAATACACAAAATCGACAGGCTTCGAGTATATCCGATCGCCAACTTCAACATTGGCGCAGTGTGCGTTCCTAAATAACCCCCAAAAGTCGCATTGCCGAAAGTTCTACGAAGCGTTTTTTTTTTCCGTCGGAAGACAAAAACATTTTACATAGCTACTAGTGTTGAATGTTACATTCAGAAATACCACGGCGAGTTTGGTTTGTTCACTTTAATAGCGGCATTCACAAGTCCAGATTTGGATCGCAGAGAACGCTGTTCAAGTAGAGGTTGAGACACGGCACGCCCGGGTCACGTGTTCAGACTGCGTTGCGGTGCGCCCTTGGACAACGTCTCAGCAAGGTCTAAGAGGCCAATACTCACGGTGGATTAGAAGCTAGAAAGAACCTGGGTAACGTTCTGTTCAGAGCTTCTCGCTCCATTCGGTACTCGCTGAATAACAGCGCAAAAGTCAGAAAGTCGTAAGACCCTACTTACTTAGGTCGCGGGCATATGTTTTGCCGAATGACCTATCTACGTTGATGACGTCTGACATAGTTTCCCTCTATTCACGGCACCCGGCCGTAAACGTTAAGATACTTATAGGCTTACTTATATCGAATTCCGACCTTACCTACGTTGCTTCTGAGTGTAAGAAGCGTGGTCTCCCTGACCGCATGGTTGCTATATCCTAGAGGGTTAGCTTGACCCCAGGACTTGCGAAACCTCTAGTAATGTGTTACTGATTCACAGTGCAGGTGTTCCCACTTCACTGTTCCGTGCATGCCACTTTGTCTTTGCTGCTGGCTAATATATGTGGGTTTGGGATATTTGTGATATTTGCATGCGACGTGTTCTGTCGTATTCGAAAGCGTTCGCTGTTTTTCTGCGATACACTACAAAACGGAGGCCTGGGTGAAGTCGATGAATTCCTCTCTTTTAAACCGCTTTTTTATTAGACAGTATTGTCGTGGCGGTCAATAAAAAAAACGATAGTGTACAAATACACAGTGGTGTAGGATGTAACTAGACTCCGCACCCTATTGTGGGATATAAGTCATGCCGTTGTGCAATACTCTTGTACGCTTCATCTGTCTTAACCAGCTTTGGTGACAGCCGATACAAACCCAGTCAAATAGGCAAAACGCTCTATAGACAGACTCGTCGCTGTCGGTAATAAGTACGCCTGCGCGTACCACATGCGGCGGAGTACTCATGCTTTTGATTAAGCCACATTTTGTGGCCACCTGCATTGTTTGTCACGCTGAGTGTCGCTAACTAATCCCTGTCATGACTTAGTGGGGTGGCATGACTAAGATCGCTACCATTTAACTGTAACACTTACATTTTTTCGAATATTTTCAGACTAGCAGAGAAGTACTTTACGTTTTTTCCGTAGTCAGTTTTAGTGGGAAATATTTGAACTAATGAGGTTTTTTGCTGTTTTACAACTCGGTTAACAAAATGATGTTATGGTTGACAAAACCCTGTCAGGACATCTTACTAAAACGATTGATAGCCGCGTATGAGTCCACATTTCCAGCCTTAGCTACCAGTTCACTAACTAAATACGCTCTTTTGTAGCACCTCCACCACTACTGTCACAACCTTGCAATCGTGTATCCGCTCCAAAGCATGCGGTGGACCGTATAGCTAGTACTCTTAAGGTAGATTTACATATTTAGCTATATCCCGGCCGATTTAATGACATTGTTCTTATGTTCAACCTGTGTGCAGTTGAATCACCGGCAATTCTTTCAGCGACATTGATACTATACTACAAACGTTGTTGGTTGTCATATTAACCCGGATTTCCTTTAAATTTTAGACTCCGATAACCCGGACGTGAACATGTGGTCTTTCAAGTTCATTTATCATCGCAAATTTTGCTACCACATTCCTAGTATCTACTTAATTTAACCAAGATTCCCATATTTGTGTATTTACAGGTCGGTTAGCCTCCCTTTGTTCTGTTCCTTTGGTCAAACTCTGCAATGTACCATACACCCATTTCATTTCTTCTTTCCACCCACGAGATTTTTGAATATGGC